CGGTCGTGAACGCTTACTACAGTCGCAATAAAAATCAGATAAGTCAGTTTATTATTTGAGAGGAAGCTATGTCCGTATCTTTTTATCTTTTTTTTCATGATTTTGCATTTTAAAAATTACTCCCTAAACTTTTATTCTGTTTTTTTCTTTTAGTGTTTCCAGCGGGCATATTACAACCACCTTTTTATCATAGATTTTTTCCACGAAGTTTAAATTATGGTGGGATTGGTGTCGTAATTGGACACGAGATTACTCATGGATTTGACGATAAAGGCAGATTGTTTGACAAAGATGGGAATCTTTATAGATGGTGGAAAGACGAGGCGGTTGATGGTTTTCATCGGCGAGCACAATGTCTGATTGGTATGGAAAGAGAAAATTCCCTCTTTGATCAATCGTGACACGCGATAGACATAGAAAGATCTATTATAATCGGATGCTTTTGCCTTTGTAATCGAGATCTCCTTTGCAGATCAATATGCAAATTATACCGTGACAGAAGTTGGGATGCAGATAGATGGTGTTAATACGCAAGGTGAAAATATTGCCGATAACGGCGGTATTAAACAGGCATTTAGAGTAATTCCACAAATTTTCCTTCTCTAATTTGAATCAAAGAATTTAGTTTCACTAGATCAATGGAACTATGATGGAAAGTTTGTTTTCTTTGCAGGCGTATGAGAGATGGCTACGCTCAAACGAAGAGGAAGACGAAACTCTACCCGGAATGACTATGACGGGTAAACAATTATTCTTTCTGAACTTTGCTCAAGTGTGGTGTGGTTCGATGCGCCCCGAAGCGACGAGAAATAAATTGAAAACATCTTTACATTCACCCGGTAGATTTCGAGTGATTGGCACACTTTCCAATTCGAAAGACTTTGCTCAGGTGTTCAATTGCCCTCTTGGTTCTCCTATGAATCCTGTGAGCAAATGCTCGGTATGGTAAAATGCGAATGTGTGTGTGTGTGTGTGTGTGTGTGTGTGGTGTGTGCGCGCGCGCGCGCGCGTGTGTGGGTGGGTGGGTGTGCGCGCGCGCGCGCGTACCCGAGATGTGCAAATTAAGCATTTGTAAAGTCGAATCGAATCTGAAATATTTACACTGAATCGAATCTTTTTTATTCGAAAACGAATCGAATTCGAATAAATTTCTCACACACTCTGATGTTAGTTAAGAAAAAAAAAACCTTAAATATTTGAAAGGAAGTCATTTTGAATGTACAAGTATATCGAAAAGTTAATAATGTAACATAAATATAGTAAAAATAATACTTTTTGATAATAATACCTGTATGTTGAAAATAACTCATTTTCTTGTTTATTCAAAAAGATCTGGATTGAAAATATTCGTACTCTCTGGAGTACGAATTCAATAGAGTCCAATAGATCGTAGCCAATAGAATTAAATGATAACTGACGACGCGCGATGATTAAGCGTACGCGCATGCACGAAAATTGGTACGCGCTGAAAATTGTTACAAGATTAATCGCAGAAGATAGGACTGTTGTACACAGGACGCGTCGACCGTCAACGCGTTACGCGTGGCAAGAAACGACGCGATAGCCAATTAGACTCTTCCGGATAAGAGTCTAACTTGGCTATCGCGCGTCGTTTCTTTTCATGCGTAACGTGTCGACGCGTCCTGTGTGTGACAGACTATATGTATAGAAAAGAATCGCGCTTAAATGAAGCAAATAAAATAGGCGAATGATTCGAACTTTTCGGTTTTGAATCTCTCTCTCAAATTCGAAAATCAATCGAATCCACTGTGAGTCGATTCGAATTCAAATTAATTCGCACACCTCTAATATATATATATAT